TTAAATTGTTATATTGTTTTTTTTAATTAGAATTTTAAAATGCTCATTGAAGATAGTTATTTCAGCATATTATATATATATAAAGACAGAAGTCATCAAGCTTATATATTTTTCATCATTACATTTATTTTCACTTATCTTATTTTGAAAAATGTATTTGTTTAAAAAGAAAAAAATCATAATTTGTAAGTGTTTATTAATTKAATATAACACACACTGCCACATAACTAAGTTTAGTTTATACTCAACGTTTAATTTATTTTATACAATAAAATTATTACTCTAATTAACTCATACTTTTTAAATTATTTCTATTTGATTAGGGCTCCCATACATCGAAATCTCATTTACATCTGTTTTTCAGGAACACTATGAACTCTATGATTTCCAAGAAACAAATATGTTATAAACACATACTATGTTACAAAAAACTGTTTTGCCAGGTCCACACAGAGACAACAAAAGTAAAACAAAACAAAAACTCTTGTGTTTTTCGACAAAATCAAAACATTTTTGTTCTTTCCAACAAATTGTTCGTGTTTTGAAAAACAAAGTCGTGTCCCTAGCTGCGGTGTCGGTAAACATCAAAAGGTTTTGGTTTTGTCGTTGTTTTTGCGAACACTGTCGAACGTGTGTGGACATGTTTTCAAAACAACTAACAGGCAATATTTTTATCGGGATTTCGCCATTTCGCGGGCAGTACCAATTTGGTTGTTTATAAATATATATTTATTATAAAATCAAAACGTCTTTTAATCTTATTATTTATTTTTTTACATTGTAACTGTAGGTAAATATACCCAGCACCCAACATAAATAAATCTTCATCGTCTTCAATATCTCTTTTCAATTTCCGTGTTTTCACTCACAGTAAAAAWTTTTTTWAAAACTTGTAAGTACGAAGAATTTAGAAAGCTAGGATACTCTGAAGACAGACTAAATGACCACGGATGAACAAAATAAAACGACGAGTTTATATTTCTGTATGGATAGTTGAAAACAAAAACAAAACACGAACAAATGTTTGAATTTTGTTCATGTTTTGTTTAATTTTTACTCAACTCAGTATGGACTATGGACACATGTTTTGTTTGCGTTTTATTTTTTTCAAACTTCAAAAAGAAGGGTTTGAGTTTGGTTTTTGTTTTGTTTCTGTGTCGTCTATGTGTGGACCCGGCATTTGGATCATTTTTATTTTTTTTTATCCATTTCGAGGAATATTACAAAAATATATATACCGTGTGTTCATCAATTTAGGAAACACTGAATTTCTCGGCTGGATAATATTGGAATAAATC